ATGTTCCAGAGAATTCTTTGTTAACATAACTGCACAATTATCACAGAAACAAGATTATTTTTGGTTTCAAAATCTGTCTAAAACTCTGGCAAAACACTTAATTAGCAAGAGATGCAACATTAAGGAACTCTTCCAATGTTTCATTCCTCCTTTCCACCAAAATACTGAAGGTTAGGCACACTTATGCAGTTTAATTCATTCAGATTGCAGAACCCTGACTGTAGCAATGCACTTAGCAGCATAGGTTATGTTACCTGGAGGGTCATAATTAGTCACAACTTCAAAGAGCAGAACAGCATGGTAAGAAGGGTCTTTTAACTCTTTCTCAGTGTCATCCCCCTCCCCCATCACTGTCTCAAAGCTACCATTAACCCTCCTGGAATTTTATTCCCGGAGCCTGGGTCTAAGTAGTTTAGGGTACTGATTTTAGGTGGACAGACTCTACAAGGGGAAAGAGCTCATTAACCCCCCCCACCTCATTGTTCTGCTCCATTTTAAATACAGACATATGGCGATCTTGCCCTCTTCAGAAAGAGTTCATTAACCCCCCACCTCATTGTTCTGCTCCATTTTAAATACAGACATATGGCGATCTTGCCCTCTTCCCTCACTCACACGGAGGATTTTCTCTCCTTTCTGGCAGAGCAGCCCCTATATCCTTATTTTTAAGGCTTACAACTGTCCCACCCTATAACGTTGTTATATTTTGAGGCTGTCTCAGCCGACAAATTTGAGGGAAGAGATACAATCACCTTAAACATACTTCTGAAAATGGCACATGAGTGGCTTTTGAAAGTTCAAAAATAAATAACTTTTTATTCAACATAGAGAAGAAGAGATGAAGAGATTGGATTTATACCCCGCCCTTCACTACCTGAAGGAGTCTCAGAGCGGCTTACAAACTCCTTTCCCTTCCCCTCCCCACAACAGACACCCTGTGAGGTGGGTGGGACTGAGAGAGCTCTTGACAGAAACTGCTCTTTCAGGAACAGCTGTGCCAGAGCTTGTGACTGACCCAAGGTCACATCAGCAGGTGCAAGTGGAGGAGTGGGGAATCAAACCCTGTTCTCCCAGATTAGAGTCTGCACACTTAACCACTACACCAAACTAGTTGGGGAAAAGGTCAGGTGAAATCAGGGGTAAAATGTCTGAGGTGAATTAATAACAACTCTTGAGGTAATTTAGTAATTTCACAAACTACAGTTAATATGTTTCCAGCAAGTAAGAGTTTTAAGCTTTTCACAAAGTCTTGGAATTTTTGAGATGAGAGGCTTTGGTTTAGTTTCTTCTAGATATTCCAGTATACATTCTTAACTGACTCTTCAGGTTTCAGAAGGCAGGGATACATTACCAAGTACCCAAAATCTTTCTCCAAACAAACCAGGGATTACTCCACTCTTTGGAACTATCTCCCTTTTCAACTGGGCAGGGAATTACTTCACTAGCCTGGAAGCTCTGTCCCTTTTTCTGGACTGAATGGGGGTCTTCTGCAATCCTCCCTGCCAACTTTCCAAGTCCTCAGTCAGGGCTAAACTAAACTTGCTTCAGCAGTCAGTTCCCAACTCTTTCTTCTCAACCATTTGAGCAACCTGTCACTCAAAGGCTCTCTGTGAGGCATTAACCCTTCACAGTCCGTCACATGTTTATATATCACTTACGAGCTTTTAAAGCTCAGTCCATCGCAAGGACCCATGGTGCCATTTTCTTTTTTTAAAAAAAAAGAGGGAAATGTCTTCAGGGAAAATAATCATGGAACTAGATGTATCAGGCAGCTCCACCCAGAGAGGCTAGTACAGCACCTGCCTTTGGCTTCAGTTATGCACAGAGTCATTATATTATCATCCAGTTATTCCAGTCTGAAAGTTTCTGTCCCGTAAAGTTATTACCTTGTTTTTATGGCCACGGTAAAATAAAAGTATTTTCATCAACTGGTAGCTAAGCATTTGTTTTATTAATACTGCTTTGTTTTCACAGTCCAACTGAATACATTAGAAATGATTAGACAAACATTTGCTAATTCCTAACAAAAGATGCTAAATAATAATCCACATATTTAATTTACATGATTGAACTGCCACAATAAAAGCAAGCAAGCAAGCTTATTTACAACATTGAAAGGGGACATGTCCTTAAGGGCCTCTTAATCCTACTAACTACTTGTTACTCCTGGTCAAGAAAAAAAATCCAAACTGCCGCACCCACCTAGCCCTGAAATGAAATTTGGCCCTAGATTGCTGTGGATGTAAAGGATGCTCATGTGAATGAGATTATTGGAATGGCACTGAGGAAAGCAACAAGGACAGCCTTTAAGAAGCCTCATCATTCTAACATTTTCTAGACAAATTCTGTGTGTCCGGAGGCATGTCCCCTGGGTGATTGTCATAAGATATACAGTAAATAGACAAAGCATATACACATGTACAAACACGTATCCTAACAAATAAATAGAGCTCACTGAAGGACAATACTGAAATAAAATAAGTTAGAAAGGAACTTCAGTCATGCACTTTCTACTCCGGGCCTGGTTTCAAGCCTATTAAAACCAAGGGTTTTTGAACAGCACCCTATATTATACAACAGCCCTTTGTAATACCAAGCTCATCTAGCCTGAAAATCTTTTGCAGTATTCATTAAAAATGACTTCACATGTTTAACTATTTCCTCTACAGATAACCCTTCCATGTAGGAAAGTCATACACAGATTGCACATACACCATCATTTGTGATGAATGTGTACACTTCAATATTTGTACACATAACAGGAAGAAAAAATTGCCCCAAATATCTGTATAGGAAATTGTTGCATACAAATCAGCTCTACAACATACTATATTAACAGGCACTTTAGGAAATGAGAACTTTGTACTCAGTAATCAAGAGAGAGCTCTTGTTGATTGTCATTTCAATATAGTCACAAGGAAATAGGTATACAATTGTGCATGAATCTGCAAATGGGCAGAAAAAAAATGTAGTCAAGGCACATCAGTTCTATTAGTGCACAAATCTTCTCAGTAGTCAGCCTTAAAGGCAGATTGTATTTAGATAGTGAACACAAGGAAAACACCTTCGTTTAGAACAGGTCACACAACCACTCCTTTATGTGACAAGATCCTTTTCTCCTGATTTAATGTGGTTAAAGTGTCATCTGTAGGGTCCATCACAAGCCGCAGTCCCAATTTTGCAAAACAACCAAAATACTGACCCATTAAGCATGAAAGAAACTGTAATTTATACTCATGACAAACTACTCAACTAACCCCTTCATCACATGCCTGGAGCAACCTGGGCTAAAACAAGCTGAATCTGACTATACATAACCATGTGTGAACTGAACTCATAGTGGGTATTTAAGGTGTCACAGTGTGAATTCGCACATGATGTTGCAGTCATCAGGTGATGAACATGCAAGTGATGGCCTGAATGAGTGAACAGCCATCACAGACAACCATCAGAACATGTCCACAATATCTTTCAAAAAAAAAGTTCACACATGGATCTCTGGCTGCTTCCACACAGTTTTGTTCTCATTTAGCATCCAAAGTATACAAAGGTGGGTTTTTTTAGTATTCCCAACAACGTCATCCCTGACTCGCTGACTCTCTCTCACCCCGTCCCCCCCCCCAAACTTTGCTGCAATCTTTCCTAAACTTGGTTTGGTACATTCTTTTGGAAACATTCAAACATGTTTGTATCTGGATGGGAAGATGTGCATTATTGCAGTCCTGCCTACATTGGCACCATTTTCCTCACATCAGCCCTGCCCCCAGTTGCCATTTGACCTTGCCACCAAAGGTCTTTTTTGAAAAACCAGCATTTCATAGATCACTATAAAATTATAACATTATAGCAATCTATCTGCCAATTCCTCTGAATCCTCAGGGGGGTTATTTTGTTTCTTTGAAGTGTAAGAAAGTTGATTAATTTGAAGTGTGATGTTGGAGGAGAATTCTATAGATACCGTGGACAGCCTAAAAGACAAATAAGTGGGTTTTAGATTGGATCAAACCTAAACCTCCCTAGAAGCTAAAATCTCTAAACTGAGGCTATTGTACTTTCGTCACATCATGAGAAGACAGGAGTCACTCCAGGAGTCAATAATGCTAGGAAAAGTTGAAGATAGCAGGAAAAGAGGAAGACCCAACATGAGATGGACGGTCTCAGTCAAGGAACAACAACCCTCAGTTTGCAAGACCTGAGCAAGGCTGTTAACAATAGGACATTCTGGAGGTCATTCATTGATAGGGTCACTTGATGGCACTTAAGACACACACACAATCCTACAGCCTTTTTGGTTGGGAAGCTATTCATTGTGGAGCCTTCTATATCTGCAATGAAAGGGGCTAGAGGGCTTACTTTAAAAAAAATCAAATCTGGGAATTCAGAAAAGCTAGTAAATAGACTGTTATAATATTAGCAATATGTCAATTGCCTGTAAGTCCAAAAAAAAGTCCTCTGTTGGCAGGGGGGAGGGGCGATAGCTGCAGGAAGATGAGGCAAGGAAGATATAGAGAAAACTGCCACAGGGGTGCTTGCCGTTGTATAGAACCATCCTGCAATGTTGTTTAGTGAAATACATACAACCCACAGTAATGAACTGTGCACACAACTCCCCAGAGGCAGAAAACAGAATCCAAGATCTCCCATTTGGTGCATTGGGCCTAACAGCTGATGCATTTCTAGTTGTTTGCAAACTGAGACCAACTGACATAAAAAGAGAAAGGGAAAGTGATCTCCTAATGAAAAGGTTGGCAATGTTTCTAGTTGTCCTGCTACAAAGGTAAGTCAGATGGCAAACACTTCCAGCATACCAAACAAGTCACCTAGCCATTTCATAAGGTGTCTGTGCCACCAATAATGCACTCTAATAGTGAAGGAGTGTAAAGAAATCAGTGCAGTTCTACAGTTCTTTTGCCATGATCTACTTCACATCTCTCCCCATTTCACTATCCCCTAGAAAACTTTTTGAATTCCCAGTTTAGAGCAGTGAGAAAGTCTTTGGTCTACATTGAAGGAGTTGTGACTGGAGTCCACGTGGATGCAAGTCTAGCATGCACAGAAGTGTCATACTGGCTGTCAGCAATGTCTGTAGGTGTCCCACTGTCATACAAGGGAGAGCCGGAGGAAGTGGTGGTGACTGAATGAGGAAGGGTGGGGTAGTGGGTTGTAGAACCTCGCAAAAACTGGGCTCCTATCCCGTTAGACATCCCACCTGACTGTGATACAGGTGAGATGGTGCTGTTGCTCACAGACCACAAGTTGGGATACTGGCTGTAAAAGAAAGAAAAACAAGTTTTAGAATTCAGACATGCCTTTGGGACCCAGTACCATTCAACACAAAAAGAAAGGCTGGAGTACAGACACGAGCCCCTCTCTAGCCATATGTGCACTGCATTGCTCTGATCAACAGTTCAGACTACAAAACACTTGGCTTAAATTATTATATGAAATCTTTGGCAGGATTTTATCTTACTCGGTAAAGCATCATTGATATGGACAACATCAAAATTATAAATACATATTATTAAGGTGCACTCTTCCTACATAATGACACAAACTCTCTCTCTCACACACACACACACACACACAAAATTCCTTCAAGAGCCTGCTTATAACAACTATAGAAGCCTGCCTGGAATAACCACAGAATATCAAAGGTCTGAACCTGGCTGCTCCCATGCCCTGAAATCTTGGTAATTTCCACACAGGGATGGGCTTGTGTAGATATACTGTTGTTACTGCTGCGGCTAGCAATACAGTGCAGTGGCAAAAGGGCTTCCTCGTGGCATGTTTCTCTGTGCTTTCCCTGTGCCAGTTCCCACAGTTGACAATTCACACACCCCTTCACATTACGGGCAGGGGAACTGTTGCTGTTTTTTAAAGAAAACAATTGATATATTTTACTGATTTATTTAAAACATTTATTATCTGCCTTTCTTGCCTGAAGAACTCAAGGTGGCTTACAATATACATGAAACATTATTAAAAACACAATAAAAACAACTTCTAAAATTCATAAAAGTCACAGCTTAAAAACTCTGATTAGGAGTGCCAATAATCAAAGCTAAACCAATCTAAATGCAGTTCTAAATAAAACTGTCTTCAACTGCTTCCTAAAGATGAACGATGTTATAAGAACCCCTTTGTTGTAGAGGTATAACAGGAAAGGCATATGTGTGGAAGAATGTATTTTAAAAAAAAATGAAAGCTGGGAATTTGGAGACCCTCAGAGACAGATGGCTTTATAACAATGTCAATGTTTGACATTTTTTTAAAATGAACCCAATTATACACCTTGTATGGTGCACTCTTCCTACATAATGACACAATCTCTCTCTCTCTCTCTCTCTCTCACACACACAAAATTCCTTCAAGAGCCTGCTTATAACAACTATAGAAGCCTGCCTGGAATAACCACAGAATATCAAAGGTCTGAACCTGGCTGCTCCCATGCCCTGAAATCTTGGTAATTTCCACACAGGGATGGGCTTGTGTAGATATACTGTTGTTACTGCTGCGGCTAGCAATACAGTGCAGTGGCAAAAGGGCTTCCTCGTGGCATGTTTCTCTGTGCTTTCCCTGCCCCAGTTCCCAGAGTTGACAATTCACACACCCCTTCACATTACGGGCAGGGGAATTGTTGCTGTTTTTTTAAAGAAAACGATATATTTTACTGATTTATTTAAAACATTTATTAGCTGCCTTTCTTGCCTGAAGAACTCAAGGTGGCTTACAATATACATGAAACATTATTAAAAACACAATAAAAACAACTTCTAAAATTCATAAAAGTCACAGCTTAAAAACTCTGATTAGGAGTGCCAATAATCAAAGCTAAACCAATCTAAATGCAGTTCTAAATAAAACTGTCTTCAACTGCTTCCTAAAGATGAACGATGTTATAAGAACCCCTTTGTTGTAGAGGTATAACAGGAAAGGCATATGTGTGGAAGAATGTATTTTAAAAAAAAATGAAAGCTGGGAATTTGGAGACCCTCAGAGACAGATGGCTTTATAACAATGTCAATGTTTGACATTTTTTTTAAATGAACCCCTCCCACAGGGTACTGAAGCAGGGGAAATGGTGCCAATGTGTGCATGGCCAGGAAGATCTGGACTTTTCCCATCCACACCGGCACCACTCTGGCTTTGCAGTGGTCTTTCCAGATCACAGAAAGACAAGGAAACCCCAGGAGGTACACAGAAGTACCACAATGCTATGGGCAAGCAGGAAAAACACAACTCCCCAAATGCATTCAAGCTGGGGCGAACAGCGTCCCTATGTCCAGTGTCCCAGCTCTAATTACTAGTAGCCAGTGGCATTTCAGAGTCCTAATACAGTGCTGTACAGCGGCATTTCAGAGTCCTAATACAGTGCTGTATTTCCACTATATAAAACCAGCCCAATCCAACAGACAGCAGGCAGGGGTAACAAAACTTCAGAGGTTTAGACTAACTGGGCACTACCCAAAAAGAGACTCAACTCCTCCCTCCTTTGCTTCATAGCCTTGAGTCAATATGGTCTGAGGTGTGGAGGCAATTCCTTCCCTCCCCAATTTTCCGAATTGCCACAACATTTCCTTCACTACAAGTGAAGGGTGGTGAAACTGCCTGTTCACTTGCATGGAGGGGGGGGGGGCAGAAGAGGTCGTCCTTGCATAAAACAAGATGCCAAGGGATGTGCAAAGTTAATTTTCACCTACCCTGCCCTGATCTTGCTATTATATTACCTATGAGCAATCCAGCCCTTGGAAAAAAAGAACACCAGCCACTACAAACATCTGTGCAAACCCGGAAATAAACAAAGCTTGTATTAAACTACAGTTTCCAAGAGGTTCTGCCTTTTGACAACAAATTCCTTTCAACAGCCCACTTTTGATTACAAATATCTGGGAGCTTTATTGTCTACAGAGTAAAGTATACCTGGAACTAGTTGGTGGGCCAGAGCTGTGACTCATGGGCAGCATACTGGTTGGGGACGGAACTCCTAGAGTGGACCAGTTGTCATGGGACTGCAGCATAGAGAGGCAGGCTGAAGAACTGTCACCATAGGCTGCTGTAAAAGACAAGCATTCATGAGAAGAGCAATCTCCATTTCCTGTGCAGAAATACAGTTCTGGAAAAACTGAAAATAAGTCAGACTCCAGGTATATGGGAAGCAGTATGTTTCAAATAAAATATATATTCTCTTAAATAACAATATATTAAGTTACTGACAAGATGGTATTTACCCCCTACAACAGGTATGTCCAACAGGTAGATCGCGATCTACCAGTAGATCGCGGAGGGGTCAGAGGTAGATCACCAGCCCCACTTGGTCTCCTGGTACAAAATAAAATAAAAAATGTTTGCAGTTCTTTCTGGATCTTCGTCTCTGTTTTGTTTTTGCTTATTTTGTTTACCAGTAAATGACAGAAGGTGCATTATAAATGGGGGAGGGGGGCGGTGGAACCCAACTTTAGTGGGTTAAAATCTAATTTGAAACTAATTTGAAACTTTATTTGCATGGTGGTAGATCACCAGCACTTTTGGCTGGAAAAAATAGATCACTACCTGTTCGAAGTTGGACATACCTGCCCTACAAGAATGCATTGCATCAATAAAAAGAATTCTCCCAGGTGTTCAAAGGGATGTGGTTGTGTAGCAGATTTTCTCCACTGTTGGTAGACTTGTGAACAGGTACAAGACTTCTGGAGAGGTATCCTCTTACACATCAAGAATATAAACTTGTGAACAGGTACAAGACTTCTGGAGAGGTATCCTCTTACACATCAAGAATATAACAGGGAAGGATCTTCTGCTTCTGTCAGAGGTTTTGCTATTAGATTATTGGAAAATGCCATCTGAGAAACTGAAACGCGACCAATTGACCACAACTCGGCAGCTAGAACATAGCCTCAAAATGGAAAGATCAGAAAATGCCAATGATGGATCAAGGGCTCCGAAAGTTGTGGGACTTTTATATTTTAGGTAAACTTATGAATAATACACAACTGAATAGTTCAGATCAACAGAAACTAGCATACACTGAATTGTGGTCTCCTGTTATTATTTGACAGAAAATGACATTTTACCGAATGATGAGAATTACATGGACTTGATATGAATATAAACAGAGCTTTTTGTTTTGATGGTCGATCAGGGTTTATTCATCTTAATCTCATGGCCTTATATGCTTCATTTATAGTTTTAATATATTTGATGTTATCTTTTTTTTACAAAAATTAAATTAAAAAAAAAGACTCCACCATTCTCCCTTGCCATCCCTTATGCTTACAACTCCCTTTAGGAATACCTGTGTGATATCACTTTCTCACTTTCTGGAAACATTTCCTTTTTCATGAAGTGATCAATTTCCCATGTGCCACTGAGAAAACCCTAGTAGGCCAGGCTAGTGAGATCTCATCAAATCTTAGAAGATAAGAAGATCAGTCATGATTTGGATGGGAGACCATCAAGCAAATCCAGGGTTGCAACACAGAGCCAGGCAATGGCATACCATGTCTGAACGTCTCTTCCCTTGAAAAACCAGTGGGGTTGCCATAAATTGGCTGCAACTTGACAATACTTTCCCCCTTGACAACTGAGAATTAGCCTAAGTATATGTCACTCAAATTAACGCATACTCCCCACTATCCATTCCCAATTCGAACCTCCCTCCCCTCCCTTATTTCTTTTTTAAGTGACTGGTTTTTTGTGTGTGTATGTTTGTCTCTGTGTGTGTGTGCGCGCGCCTGAAAGTCATGGTTGACTTCTCGTGACCCCTAGTAAGGCTTAGACATTTCAGAGAGGTGGCTTTCTATTGCCTACCTCTGTGTACCAGCCCTTGTATTCCTTGGAGGTCTCCTTTCCAAGTACTTGTCAGAGTCAGCCCTGCTTAGCTTCGGAGATTGGGCTTGGCTAGGTTATTAAGGTCAGGGCCCTCCGCTCCCTTATTTCAAGTTTCCAGCAATAAGCTCCTCAGGGCAAGGACATGTCTTCTAGAATTCTGTAAAGCACCATGAGTATTGACAGATCTATATAAATAACTGTGATGCATTGTTTTGATCAGATTTGCCTGAAGCGCATCATAGCCTACTTCAACTGTGTTGTGAGTATGCTTCAAAAGGCGCTGGGACTCCAGTGAACAGAAATATTCTATGAAGCAATGGTAATGATCACCAAAGAGGAGCCCTTTCCTGCAATGTAAAGGTCTTGCAAGACAGAGGTCACGGTCACACGCAGAATTAGCCGTGCCATAAGTGCGAATGCCAAGCGTCCTGCTCCCGTGGCAACCTAATTTTGCTCCGCTACAGAAGCTGAGTAAAAAGACACCGGGGAAAATCCAGTAGCAAATGGGTTCGCTGCAGGCCAGGAACAGACTTTCCCCTGTGTGGTCGCGCCAGCGTGCTCTCATGGCATCGGGATGGTCTGATCGGGCTCCAGGCTGTTGTTTTTTCCCCCGTTTCGGTATGCGCATCATCGCACAATGCATAGGGAGCACTCAGTGTGGAGAGGCGAATCATCGATCCCTCATTGAAGCGCACCGGAAAAACGCAGCAAAAAAACCCCCCAACTCACTCGCGGTTGCGTCTGATCATGCAGTGGCGGGGAAAATGCAGCAAAAAACCCCCCAACTAACCCGCGGTTAAGAACATAAGAACATAAGAGACGCCAATGTTGGATCAGGCCAAAGGCCCATCCAGTCCAACACTCTGTGTCACACAGTGGCCAGAAATACCAGTGCCATCAGGAGGTCCAGCAGTGGGGCCAGGACATTAGAAGCCCTCCCACTGTTGACCCCCCCCCAAGCACCAAGAAGACAGAGCATCACTTGCCCCAGAGCCCCTAACAGCCACCGATGGACCTCTGCTCCATATGCTTATCCAATTCCCTTTTGAAGCCGTCCATGCTTGTAGCACCCACCACCTCCTGTGGCAGTGAATTCCATGTGTTAATCACTCTTTGGGTGAAGAAGTACTTCCTTCTATCCGTTCTAACCCGACCGCTCTGCAGTTTCATTGAGTGCCCACGAGTTCTTGTATTGTGAGAAAGGGAGAAAAGTACCTCTTTCTCTACCTGCTCTTTCCCATGCATAATCTTATAAACCTTGATCATGTCACCCCTCAGTCGTCGTTTCTCCAAGCTAAAGAGCCCTAAGCGCTTTAACCTTTCCTCATAGGGAAAGTGTTCCAACCCTTTTATCATTCGAGTTGCCCTTTTCTGCACTTGCGTCTGGTCATGCAGTGGTGGGCTGCCCCCGCAACACCCAGGGACTGTGTGATTGTGCAAATGCGGGTCAAATACCTACGGAGCAAATAGCCTTGCTCCCCCCCCCCGCATTATCTCGCGCATGTGACCGCAACCAGAGACCGGCAAAACAGATTTAAAAGACAAAGGAGTGACTGCCCTAGAGTTAGCGCAAGGCACTTCTCAAGGAGAAAAACAAACAAATGAAACTGCAAACTAACATTCTGAAGAAGTCATATCCTCATCTCTGGATCTCAGTCAGTGAGCAGGTGCCATGGACATGTGTGTGTAG